CCCCCCCCGCCTGTTTCCCCTCCCTCTCCCACTCCATGTTAGCTCCCAGTCGCGTCTTCCAACAACAACCGTGGCCAGCACTGTCGTCTCCTGATGCGGAGGCGCAGCTGGCGCTGGCAGTCGCAGCTGGCGCTGTCGTCGCTCTGCGGACTGCGGGAGGCCAAGCTGGATTTAGGCGCCATCGGCCACAACGCTGGCATCAGCGCGCGCGCGCAGGGCACGCAGTGGACCGAGCGAGAGACGGGAGCCGACTGTGGAGGCCGACGCTGCGGTCAAGAGGGGGGTGCGCAGGTCATGGCCCGCGGCAGGCGCGCGGACCAGGGGAGGGGACCAGGGGACGCATGGAAAGGAGAAGAGGGGCCATGGAATCTGCAGATATCTCTCCTCCTCCTCCTCCTCCTCCTGCTCCTCCTCCTCCTCCTCCTCCTCCTCTTCCTCCTCCTGGTCACGATATCCAAGCCCCGCCAAGAATTAGGGAAACAAACAATGGCATAAACATACAAACTTGGAGGTCCGCGCGGACTGCTCGGATCGGCACTGGACCCCCATCCCTGGCGCGCGGAGCGCGCCAGGGGCGGCGCCAGAGGCGCCGCCAGGGGGCGCCATCGCCGATCCGAGAAATCCGCGCGGACCTCCGAGTTTTGTTATGTTTATGTCAATGGTCGTTCCCCTAATCGGTACCGAACTGCTTAGGTAACAGCGCGGGAAATCGTCTCGCAGCTGCCTGGGGGCTCACAGGCGCTTGGAAAACAGTATTTCAAGAATCGAGGCTTTGAGGTGCAGTTCGTTCGCCCGCCGCGAGGAACTGGAGCGAGAACATGACCATCAAGAGCGCTAGCAGCGTTGTACGTTGGTCAAGCAATTCGTCGAACCCCTCTCGGCCGCCACCGATGTCGGATACAGCGCTGGGATCCGCGGGTGCGCTACGGGCGGGCCGTGGCAACAAGCTCTGCCGCTGCCCGGCCAGATGCGGCAGGCGAGCCCGGCCCCCGGCCTCCTCGGATACAACCCGCTGGAGCCCGAGCGCGCGAGGGGGGGCGAGCAGTGGCCACGGCATGTGGCCAATGGCTCGACGACTTCTCGCAAATCGACCTGTGGGGCTCGAGCCCGATGAATCTGTGCAGATATGGATAAATCGTGGCACATCCAGGTACATCGTGGCAGATCCAGGTGAATCAACAAATCCCCAGGGCAATCTGGAGCAACTCGCGGCCTCGCCGGCACGAGTCGAATGGAGATTAGAGGAACAAAGAACTGCGTGAACATAAACGCTTGAAGGTCCGCGCGGATTTCTCGGATGTGCGCTGACTTCCTCCCTGCCGCCAGGGGGTCCCCAGCGCAGATCGAAAAACTCTGTGCGGACCGTCGAAAACTTGGGTTTGCGCCGCTTTTGCTTCTTCGAGAAATATAGCAGGCGAATGCGGAGCCCAGCGTCATCCGCTGCAGAGCGTGGATCAGCGCCTATGGGAAGGACGAGCCGTGGCTGAGCGAGATGCGAGAGGCGAAGTTGGAGTCCAACGCCATCAGTTGCGGCGCTGGGATCAGAGCACGCAGCAACGACGAGCAGTGGCAGCGGGCCCTTGCGCTGCTGAGCAAGGTGTGTGGCGGGGGGCCAGCGTGGTTGGCCACGACGCTGTTACCAGCGCGTGCGAGTTCGGCGGGCAGTGGCAGCGGGCCATGGCGACACTGAACGAGAAGTGGGGGACGAGTCTGGAAAGAAACGTCATCATCTACACCTGTGCGGTCAACGCATGCCAGAAAGACGGGCAATGGCTTAGCGAGATGTGGGAAGTAAATAAGGGGGAAGAAACCGAACTCTATAAACCTACGCGTTTTCCGGCCCCGCACTGAAATTCGCACAGGCAAGCGGATCCGGGTGTATACGGGATCCTAGTGTATACATGTTTTGTTGTTTTCCCGGGACAACGGGGAAAAATGTATACACCACACCACCCCGGCGTCGTCCCCGACCCTCAAAAAAATCCAGGGATTGAAGAACAGCCCGCCACTGGAAATGCATATGCTCCAGTTTCCGATCTAGGGCCCACCATCATCAGCTACAATACTAAGGCCAGCGTGTGTCAGAAAAGTGAGCCGTGGCAGCCGGCGCTGGCGCGGTTGAGCGAGATGTGGGAGGTGAAGCTGGAGCCCGACGCCATCAGCGGCAACGCTGGGATCAGCACGTGCGACAGGGGCAACGAGCTGTGTGGCTGCTGAGCGAAATGTGACAGCAAAGCTTGAGCCCGACGTCATCAGCTGCAACGCTGTCTCAGCGCGTGCGAGAAGGGCGTGCAGTGGCAGCCAACTCTGGCGCTACTTAGCGGTAGTGTGGGAAGCGGAGTTAGAGCCATACGTTGTTAGCTACAGCACTAACATCAAAGCGTGCAAGAAGGAAGCGCACTGGCAGCGGGCTCTGGCGCGGCGGAGCGAGGAGTGGGAGGCGAAGCTGGAGCCCAACATCATCAACCACAGCGACGGCATCAGCGTGTGGGAAATGTAAGCCAGCGGCGGCCTAGAGGCGAATCTGGCGCCGGACGTCATCTCATTCAGATGCTGGACGCTCTGTGATCCTGGAGCCGACAGGGCGCGAGGGCCGCGGGAATCCAGACGAAGTGAGCACGCGCGCCAGCGCACAGGGATGCGGCACCGTATCGAACGAAACGAAACGAAGCGAACGGGAGCCAGGAGGATGGGGAGGAAAGGGATATTGGCCACGATCCACGGCGACACGAAACGCAATATCAGTGAAGGCGACAGGAAGACGAGCTGAATGCGAGATCTGGCCTGCCACCGCATACCTGGAACCAATGGTTAACTCGGTATCACTCCGTCCTTGACGAGCTGCCGGACGATCAAGCCAGATATGAAAATAGATTTTGTATCTTCTGTGCTGATGCTTCCGTCGGGATCAAGTACCTTGAGATCTTGGAGAGACTTCCACTCACGTGGGATTTTTTTGGTCCCAAAAAGATCCAACGCGGGCACTTCATCAAGCCCCACAAGACCAGACAGGTCCACCGAGATGTACACCCCATGAAGTGTGTTGCTCACGTTGGAAGTTGATGTATGTGTGAATATCCTGCCGTGCCTGTCCTGGTGCGGGTCCCTGCCAGTCTCTGCCATGCGCGCTCCGCGACTGGCGATCTCCTTCCGCAGCTCCTCTGGTGGGGTTGCCGGCAGAGGCATCGGGTCTGGCATCTGCGGGAACATCGTGTATATTCTCATCGAATCCACCATCTTCGTATAATCAGGGGCCTCCGTGCCGAGGCCAACGTAACGCGGACAAGACGAGACGCCGCCCGCTGTGCCAGCCTCACACCGCGAAAAAAGGCCGCTCATTCGGAGCGCCCCCTGGATGGCAGCGAGGCTATTGGGCTTGTCGACGATAGACTTCACCACGGAAATTGTGCTGCCTTCCCATGGCCCCATGGTCTCACCGTCGTCCATCCGCGCAGACCCGCCACCGTGCCCTCGAGGCACGAGTTGGTGTCTCCTCAGGTGTTTGCTCAATTCCCTGGAGCCTCAGTCCTCACTTCTGAATATTCTGCAAGGGGCCCAGACCCGAACTTGACCAATCTTGCGGAGCGTGTCGCGTGCCTTCTGGTACCTGGGGCATCTTCCCGCGTGTCATTTTCGGGCCCACGACGGCCCCACGACGGGCCAAGAGAAGGTCCCCAAGAGGCCGTCCAGAGGTCCAAGGGGGCCTCGAATCGACGAACGATCGGTCCAAGACGCCCAAGGTGGCCACAAGACGGCCCAAGAAGCCTTCGAGGCGCCCGAAAATAGCTCGAAGAGCCTTTTCAAGACGGCCCCGAGGGGCCAAAATCATAGATTTTCATACGGTGTTCCAATGTTCTGGGGGCCCTAGACTTTGTGAGCTCCCGGCGCTCCGAGACGGCCCAAAAAACCTACAAGACTGCCCAAAGACGGCCGAAGAGGCCTCCAGGAGGGTCCCAAAACTACCCGAGAGAGAGCTCCAGACCGTTCCCTGAAGCACCGCAAACGGCCCCAGACAGCTCAATGACAGCCCGAAAAACATACCGAAAGGGGGAGCGCGAGTGCCATCCGCCCCCAGAAGCCCCCAGGACCCCCCAAGAGGCTCCCAAAAGGCCCCAAAACGGTTCCGCTGAGGCCTCGAGATCGCCTCCAGGAGGCGCCCGAGAGGCCCCCACCGAAATCACAACGATCACTCAACAGCCCCAAGCATTCCCAAAGGAGGGCCCCTGAGGGGAAACACGGGACTACACTTCAAGCCCTGGAGTCAAATGCAGGCGGTATACTCCACGCTGTACTTGCTGGGTGCCAGTTGGGGCACACAAATGAAATGCGCCAAGGGGCGCTTGCTATGATCAAATTGACGCATACACATGACACGTTTCCGGTGGTACTTCATTGGCATGTTTTTGTCTGACGCCCGCGCGATAACACTGGAATGGTATATGTTTAATGCCAGTTGGGACAAACAAGAGGCACGGCTCAAAGGATCGCTGCCTGGTACCACGTGGGGCCAAGATGCGATACACATACAGACAATACCTACCACTTGGGACATGCAGATGCGACAGTTCAGATGGTCGTCGCTGGGTACCACTTGGGGCATACAAGCGCGATGGCTCACGTGGACACTGCTCGGTACCAGCCTGTACTACTTGGAGCATACAGGCGGCACAACCCCCACTTGGCGCTGTTTGATTTATGCACGCGACTCGTCTCCAGACGAGATTGACCACGCGGTACTGCGTTGAAGCCACTTGAATCAGTCACACGGCATGCCTAAAGTGGCACTGGTTTCGTGCCGCTGGAATTGTACAGACGCGGACGATCAACACAAGATGGCTCAAGTCGCAAAAACTGGGTACCGTGTGGGCCATACGGGCACTGTTTCAAATGATACAGCCTTGGTGCCACTTCCGTCGTGTAATCCGTAAGACTCAAGATGCAATATCTCCAACGGCACTGCCACTGACCTACTTTAAAGTGGCCATGGGTACCTGACACATCATGACAATATAATTCGGTCGGTGAATTACTGGCGCAACTCGAGGCATCCACGCGAGATGACTGGCGAGCTGCCTCCTCAATAGATACGTGATTGGCATCATGGAGATCCGATGGTGAACGCCCAATATGATTCAGAAGCCATTCGCGCGGCCTCAATACGGCTACAAAATCTGGTGTCATGTCTTAAGGACTCCACCGACCGATGACTAGGATCAGCTGGAAAAGCAGATGGCAATCCTCAGCTGGTACCTTTCGATGACGGATTGCCCTGCGTTCTGTCGCACGCACCTCGTCTTGCGCGAACGCGAGTCTGCGGGTGGCGATGGTGACGAGGAAACCAGCATCATGGTCCAATCCAAAAACACGCGTGCACCTCAACGAAAAACCGTATCAACACAATTGTGAAATACCGGATGGAAAATGAGAATACTGATGGCTGCGCTGGGAGACGCAATTGCCCTGATAAACTAATGCCATCGTGGTGCGTGCTGGCCCCGCGCAATCGGCAACACGCAGCCAGGCATTCGCAATCGCACCCCCAGAGAATCCACGCTACATTGCCGATGACCAAGCGCTGCTGAGCAGGTGCTTTCAGCAGCGCGGAGCGTGAATTCCCCCCCCCCGATGGCGGCCCATATCCGAGCAGGGACCGACCGTCCCGGCATTCCTGTAGGCCTACCACGACATGTTGTTCGAACCCAAAAATGTTCCAAGAACCAAAACAACGTTCTCAAACATAAACGCGACATGGTGACATGGTAAAGCAAGAGGGCCCCAGCCAGAGGCGCTCGAAGAACATGTCGTGCAAACCGCAAGAGTTTCATCATACGTTCTTTGGCGGGCCTATAAGCGACCCGAGACGCTTCGCCACTGCTGGACACATTCGGCGCCGCCCCCCCGCAGTCGCCGGCAATTGCAGCCGCGTTCTCACAAAGGAAAGGCTTCGCCGCTGTTCGTGGCTCGGGGGTGTCCTTGTGAACCAGTCTCGGCGCCCAGTCTTTGCTGCCGCGGTGGCAAATCGCGCCCTGCGGGCGGGGGCTGCCAGCGCGCTACAAGCGACGACCTGGCTGGCTGCTGCCCCCCTGCTGCCCTCTTAAACGAAGCCTCGTTCATTTTCGAGGCATCGCGCAGCAAAAGCAGCTGCCGCTCTTCTCGCGCAGGAAGGACTGAAACTCCGCCGGAGTCTGCGGCATCTGCCGCGGCTGCAGCCGCGAAAGAAGGCCGCGTCGCATCGCTGCGCGCGCACGGGGCCCCCGCGCATCTTGCAGGCATGGCAGCTGGGCCCCGTGCGCTGCAGACGCCGGCAGCCGGGGCCTTCTCTTCTTGGCGCCACGAGTGGGGCACTGCAGCCGGTGCGTCGCCCACAGCATCGCGATTTCCTCGCCGTTTGACACGGCGCTCCTGCACGGCTCCAACAGGGCGGGCTGGACCGCGCCAGAATCTGCGGAATTCGCATCAAAATCAACAGGGGGAGGGAGGCGCTGCAGTTCGCGCCTCTCGGGCACTCTGGCCCCCGCTGACACCGAGCGCCAAGCTGCCTGGCCCCGCGCGCTGCGAGCGCCAGCAGTCGCAGCGCTTGAGAAGGCAATATGACACGCTGCCTTTCCTGAGCCGACATTATGGGACTTCCGCCTTCGTCTTGCACGTCGCGCTGAGGGCGCGCTGCGGCGGCTGCGTCACCTTCTGCGCCGCCAGCAGTCAAAGCAACGCGCTGCCCCGCGTCGCCTGCAGAGCCAGAGGGGCCCTGGAAACAAACGGCGCCTGGCTTCTTGGAGCGGCAACCTGCGCGCTGCCCCCCCCCCCCCCCCCCCCTGGCGTCGCACTGCAGGCAGGCGGCGCCGCGCCTTCGCCCATGAAGCCACGCGCGGGCGCGCGAACGTTCGGCGTTCGGCCACAAACCCGCGCGCTTCTAGCGCGGATGAAACTCCCCCGCCTCAGCGACGACAGCGCCCTCCACGCAGTCGGCGCTGCGTCGCTTCCAACGTGCATCCACGCGTTGTACCTACTGTTCCAAGTCGGAGCGGTTTTGCTGGTCGCGCGGAGCTGGAAGTATTCCGCCCAGCACGCCCTTTCTACATTGCCAGCGCTGTCATGTTTCATCATCGACATATTCCTGAAACGCCCTCAGTAGCCTGCAAGCACCTCCCTGCATGGCGACTCGCCAAGAGAGACTCGCCCGCCCAGGACTTCAAAAAGAAGGCTCAGCCACGACCGCGGCCCCATCCGCAAGAAAAACGGATTGAAATCCCGCGGCAGAAGCAACCCGCTTGCCTCCGTGACGCGCGACCACGCGATGGACCCCCGCATAGCTGCAGACTGCGACTGCGGACAGACTTCGTCGCCCATGTCGGGCATCGCGGCGACCGTCGCCTGGCCCGCGGCGCCATCCATCGTCGCGACGCATTCTGGGGCGAGCGGGCAGCCGCACCCAATGAACCTGATGGCGTTGCCCCTGTCGAGGTGCCAACGCTGCGCCAATGGAGTCGCGCGAACCCAGTT